TATTTGTGTTTTCCGATGGTCTTGGGCGACCCCGGTGAAAGGGTCGTTCGACCCCCAAGGGGGTCGCGACCCACAGGTTGAGAACCGCTGATCTAAAGGTTCAGTGAGGGATCCCTTTGCCCTGCCATAGAGGAGCTTTGCAAGAAGACTAAAGTTGGGAACCCAGAGGCAAAAGTACCTAGCAAGCCCGAGAAAGGAAAGTATTTCTTTTCTTTTTTTTTTTTTAATATATATTTTATTGATTTCTTACAGAGAAGAAGTGGGATCGAAAGTCAGAAACATCGATGAGAGAGATCGATCAGCTGCCTCCTGCATGCCCCCCACTGGGGATGTGCCCGCAACCAAGGTACATGCCCTTGACCAGAATCGAACCCGGGACCCTTGAGTCCGCAGGCCAACGCTCTATCCACTGAGCCAAACCGGTTCGGCTTTAGGTTCTTTTTACTTCCTTCTTCGGGCACACGGCTGTGTGCTCGCTCTGTGGGGCCTCTGCCTTAGAGACGGTAGAGCAGAAGGGAGTCAGACAGGTAACCTCAGGTGAGGGCAACTGGCTGTAGACTCAGGGGGCCGGTTGGACCCCGAAAATACCACCTTCTCAGCGAGAGGAGGACTGTTCTTCAGTCACAGATGTAGGATAGGTGTGTGTCCTCCAATAGCCTCCAGGTGAGAGCTGGAGAATTTAGGGACATAGGAGGATCGGAAGGATGTAGGACCATCTCAGTGTGCTAACGATACAATATTCTTTTTCTTTTTTCTTTTTTATCATGGATCAGCTTAGTAGATAGAGCACTGGCCCTCGGAATGAAGGGTCCCAAGTTCAATTCCAGTCAAGGGCATGTTACCTCGGTTGCAGGTTAGGTCCCCAGCCCTGGTCAAGGCTCATGTGGGAGGCAACCAATCGATGTGTCTCTCTCACATCGATATTTCTCTCCTTCTCTCTCCCTCTCTGAAATAAATAAAAACATATTTTTTAAAAAAGGGAAAGAAAAACCATGAGATTGTGAAAACTGTTCACCTTTTAGAAACTAAAACCAAGACAAACAGACCTTTGAAGAACAAAGATTGGTCCAGTTGGTCTGTCAGGTGACTGAATATTTGGATAAATTACTTCCCAGAGATTCTGGTGGTTAGTGACTGGAAATACTTAGGAAACGCCTCAAAATCAAGTGCCAAGAGTTTATCAGACTGTAAACATTGTATTTTATGGCCTATAAAATTCACCCAACTTGCATACAGGTAAAATTGAATAAATGCCTATTATTTCCCATGCACCAATTAATGAAAACCATGACATTTACTGTGATGGGGATACAGTTTGCAAATAACAGGATAATCAGAATTTCCCCCGCCCTCCAGGGTGCCTTCTAGCTCTGTAGCCTTCCCCAGGTGGTATCCGCCCAGCTGTGCTTTCTCACTGACAGTGTTCTGGGTGGGTGACTCTCTGTTTTCTGCTTTTAACATCTCACTGCTGGACAGGACTAAAGGAAAAAGGGCATCTAGTCCACGTGTACTTCTTTTTTTAACCGTTTGACTGCTAAGGAGCGCTACCGCGCTCTTCTTATGTTACTCCAAAAATGCAAAGTGCGCGATAGCACTCCTGTGTTTGTTTTTTATGCCAAGACTGCGGAGAGCGTAATAATGCTGCTCCAAAACGCTAGAATTTGTGCGTCCAGTGAAGCACGTTGCGTTTTCGGAGCATACGATTTTTAATTGTTCTAATAATATTACATATTTCAAATCTACTTTTTTTTTCTGTTAAATAATGGTGAAAACAATGCCAATTTTATTCACAAAATTAATTAAAACAAATTTATGTAAACAATTGGTATTTTTTAATTTTTGTTGCTGCAAAGCAATACAAGTGAGTTTATTGTATAAAAAGTGTTTTTACATTTTTTCCCATACACGCGCACTTAGTGCTGCAGTTTTGGCATATGTCCGAAAAAATACGGCAGCAGCCAAACGGTTAAAAAGAAGTAGGTTTTCTGGATCCAGGGACCCCAGGAGGAGGGATGAGAGGCTCCGAAGATCCTTCTGGAGCTCTTGCTGTCATGGCCATGTGCACAGAGCTGAGAGCAGACCTTTCTCTCTCTGGAAGGTGAACAAACTTATGTAAACAATTGGTATTTTTTAATTTTTGTTGTTGCAAAGCAATACAAGTGAGTTTATTGTATAAAAAGTGTTTTACATTTTTTCCCATACACGCGCAATTAGTGCCGCAGTTTTGGCATATGTCCGAAAAAATACGTCAGCAGCCAAACGGTTAAAATATATTTTTATTGATTTCAGAGAAGAAAGGAGAGGAAGAGAGAGAGAGAGAGAAACATCAATGATGAGAGAGAATCATTGATCGGCTACCTCCTGCACACCCCCTTCTGGGAACTGAGCCCACAACCCAGGCATATGCCTTGACCAGAATAGAACCGTGACCTCTGGGTTTATAGGTTGAGACTCAACCCCTGAGCCACACCAGTGGTGCTACCTCTGCTTCTTTTGCAGCTGGTTCAGCTGAGGCCCAGAGGAGTGAAGTGACTGGCCCAAGGTCACTAGCCCGGCCCTGGCACCCTGCGTGTTGTGGACTTACGTCCAGTGTCAAGCCAGAAAGGGCAGGTGTAGGTCGGCTCCTTCTGCACCTCTTACACTTGTGCGTTTGGGTTTCTACTTGGCTATAATTTTTAACTTCTCTGAACATTTAGAAATCCTCTAAACAGTCCCGGAAGTCTCCGGGGGATGACGACGACAAGGACTGCAAAGAAGAAGAAAACAAAAGCAGCTCGGAGGGTGGGGACGCCGGCAATGACACGAGAAACACAGCTTCAGACTTGCAGAAAACCAGCGAAGGGGTAAGGAGGCGCACGCGGTTCCCTCAGCTCATATTCACTTAGAAGACACTTGGCTGCAGAATCGGGACTCGTATCCCAGCATTAGACGTTGTCTTAGTAAATGAGGAAGTACTCTCAGCCCGGTCGGTTGGTCGGTTGGTCGGTCGGTCGGTTGGTCCGTCGGTCAGTCGGTCGGTCGGTCGGTCCGTCCGTCCGTATACCCCTCCACTGACAGCTCCTGGTGGGAATTGCACCTGCCTGTCAGCTTGGAACTCTACCAACAGTTTATTCTTTTCTGAACTAACTTAAGCAGCTTGAAAGCCTTTTAAAGTCGGGCGTGAAATATTGAAATTATGAAATGCCACCTCCACATCTGACAGTCGCATTTCTTTAGTTATAAAATAAACGGCATGTTCAAAATAGGGGGGTTCCTACTGCTGCTTCTGTCCTAGAAGCAGTCGTCATTTATGTGCCCGTGGGGGCTTTACATATTTAAATATTCAAGCAGTATATGAATGCTGATTTTTTTAAAGGACCCAACAGGAAAACTTGTCCACTTTGAGTCTTGTTTACTTTTGTTAACTTCACAGTCACAGGCAAGAACACCTTTGCCAAAGTGTTAGTGAAGGCGAACTTTGCCCGTGGCCATTTTCCATGAGTCTGTTCTCTGTGAAGACTGAACAGTGGCCAATGGTTTAAAAGCATCAACCCCTGAAATATCCGACTGTTACTCGTCTGTTAAGTTCTGGTGCCAGCTTAGCTCTTGCCGGTTCTTGTTTGTGCTGTTTACCTCTCAGCTCTGTCCCTCCTCCATCCAGTTCCCATAATTCCCCGTGGTTAGGGTTCTAGTTGTTCCTTGATTTCTCTCGTCCACCTCAGCTCTGCTCCACCCCGCCTGTCTTTATTCTCCACACCTCTCTCCACTACGTAGTCCTCTGTTGTTCCCTTTGCCTGTAGCCTCACTGAATAAAGGCTTGAGTACCTGACACATTCGATTTCCTTGTGTCCCACCTGCTACCTTGTTTAAAGACCCCTCCCCCCCCAAAAAAGCATGTCATTAAAGTGATGGTCACATTTTGGTGCCGCCTTCACTGTGTGTGGGGCAGTAATGATTTATTGAGGCTGCTGTGCGGCTGCCGTGGGACCATCTGTTCTGAACGATTCTTCAATATGGATTGCTTAGTTGTTGCTGTGAATTTCCTACCAATGTGGGCATAGGAACTACTGCCTTTCACATTAATTTTTTAAAAAGACATTACTAAAGAAGTTTCTGTGGTTGGTGAACAGGGTTTGTTTTTTTTTATTGTTTAAATGGGTGTCTTCCTCCTTCACAAGGGAGGGAAATCCTTCAAAGGCTGTGAGTGTAATCTTGTATCTCGTGCTTTTATTTGTGGATAGTGTGGAGTCATCAGGCATTGCATTTTGCAAGTTAGTTCACAGATTTTATTTAATCCTCACCTGAGGATATTTTTCTGTTGATTTTAGAGAGAGGGAAAGACAGCCAGAAATATCAATGTGAGAGAAAAACATCGATTAGTTGCCTCCGGCAGGTGCCCTTGACCGGAATTGAACCCGGGACCCTTCCGTCCACTGAGCCAAACCAGCGAGGGCAGGCCACAGATTTTGTTTATTTTATTTTTTAGAATATATTTTTATTGATTTCAGAAAGAGGAAAGGAGAGGCAGAGAAAGATAGAAACATCAATGATGAGAGAATCATTGATTGGCTGCCTCCTGCACGCCCCACTGGGGATGGAGCCCGCAACCCGGGCATGTGCCCTGACCGGGAATTGACCCATGACCTCCTGGTTCCTAGGTCGATGCTCAACCACTGGGCCACACCAGCCGGGCTGGATCACAGATTTTAAACGGGGTTTGTTGGTTGGTTGGTTTTAAGATGGGCTTTCCCAATTTGGTAGAAACAGAGGCTGAGAAATGTATTTCTGCCGCTCGAGGGGATGCCGGGTTTAGCAGCTTCCTCTTCGAAGGCTCTGGCATGACTCACGTAGGGCGTCATGTACAGTTCAGTGTAGATGCTGGGTCTGAGCGTGAAAACACTCCCACGCGTGCTTCCAAACATCCCTCTACTCGATGAAGTGAAGACCTGAAGCAGGCTGTTTTAGAAGAAATATTTGGGGCCTGGGTTCCCTCTTTCACACATCCCATGAGAGCGTACTAGGGGCTTTGGTATTTTTGGGTCAATGATGAAGAAAACAAAGACAGGATCCCCTTGAGGACCTGGGGCCTGGCACAGTTTAAAGTGGGCCCCACCCGGAGACTTCCTCTTTGTCACACGTGCCACCTGAATTCTGAAAGAAAGTGCGACTTTCTCTCTGTCCACCTTGATTGTGCCAACTCTAGTTTTTCAACAAGCCCGTTGTCAAAGTAATTAAGTTGTAAATATTATACAGAATAACTTGCATACACTCCAAATGCTTTTTAAATTTTAAAGCAGTTTGCCTTTTTAAAAATATATATATATTTTGTGGCTCAGTGATTGAGCATCGACTTATGAACCAGGAGGTCACGGTTCGGTGCCCGTCAGGGCACGTGCCTGGGCTGTGGGCTCAATCCCCACCCGGTAGGGGGCGTGCAGGAGGCAGCCTGTCAATGATTCTCTCTCATCATGGATGTTTCCGTCTCTCCCTCTCCCTTCCTCTCTGAAATCAATAAAAATATATTTTAAAAAAACAAAAACCCTAGTCGTTCCTTTGGCTTTTTGCACTGACGGGTAGGATGCAGAGCCCCGGGCTGTGCTCGCTAAGTGCGGTCAGTGCCGCGGTGCCGGTGGGAACTCTCTGTCTCTCCCTTCCTCTCTGTAAAAAATCAATAAAAATATATTTTAAAAAAAAACAAAAACCCTAGTCATTCCTTCGGCTTTTTGCACTGACGGGTATGACGCAGAGCCCCGGGCCGTGCTTGCTAAGTGCAGTCAGTGCCGCGGTGCCGGTGGGAGCCTCCGCAGGCCCAGCTGTACGCTCTGTCGGTGCAGAAGCTTCCGTCGCTGATGTCCTCCGTCTCCTAAAGGCGCGCCTTCTCTCTTCTCTTACAGACCTAACCACCGCGGTGGACGCTGCGTATTCCAGAAACCGCAGGAAAGTTGCGCGCTTGGTTGTCTCCTGTGCTCAGAGTTGCTACGAACCCACACGGTCCTTGTTGTCACTGACTGAACCCAGTTTGTATGTCCTTGATTCACATTCCTCTCTGTTTGTGTTTAGAGAAAGAAAGGGGGGAACAAAAGACATTTTAGCCTTTTTTAAAGTTACTGATATAATTTCTTGTTACTTGGTTGCATGAAGCTGCCCTTCACCACTGAGGGTTATCAAGATGTTTGCACAGACTTACACACGTCTAGGATCCTTTTATCAAGGCAGTGACGTCCTGGAGCCTCCTGCCTCACTCCGCCTCCGCCGCACACTCAGTTCGATAGAAATTTGCATTTCTTTAAAACGACCACTCAGACCTGAGACGTATCTCCTCTGGGTGACAGGACCCGGGAGCCAGTTCCTAGATACGTAAACGCTGGCATATTGAAGATGAAATGAAAATGGCCCTTCATCTTCAAGGCCAGGTGTAAAGGTTAACCATATTGTAAGATATCTATTCCATATTAGAAATAGCCCATTGACAACTTCTTCTTCTCCAGACTCACGCTGTTAGGTACACAAACCCAGTTTCTGTATGTGAGGTCAGTGCGTCTTTTTGTGTTAACCCCAAAATAGAGGCAACACTTTCTTCCCCCCCACTGCCAAGACCATTCGAGCGGGTCACCAGAGGTGGGAGCTTGAAGCCGGACATCGCAGCAGCCCTATGGGAAACCAGACAGAGCATCGACTTTTAAATACAGACTTTTTAAAAGAACTTGTTTTCTTTCGGGACTAGAATTAGAATAGCTACTCTCCATCCACACACCATTCTTATGTGTACATTCTCGTTGCTATTGTGATCATAGAGAGTTTTATTTATTTTTATGCCAGCCTATATTGTGAGGACACATTTAGTCAGTTTGGGTTTCCTCAATCCTGTTATGCTTGTCTTTGAAACATATTTCGCGTACTCGAGGTTTGTAGTTGAAAAGTTTACTGTAAAAAAAAAAAAAAGGAGAAAAAAAATGTATTGTTTTTACAGAATAAATTTATTGGAATGTGTCCCGGGAGTAAGGTTTGAGGTTGTAAACCACTACGTTGGTGTAACTTGGCTTCATAAATGTAATGTGAGGTATTGATGTGATTCACATATTAAAGCGAAGTTTGTTGACAGCAAGTTGGCAATAGAACCAGTGCAGGTGAGGTCTTATTTTCATACTCTCTCCGGGCTGTAAGGGTTTTTTGTAAACACGGGGGGGAGGGGAAGGAATGGCCTGTGGTTGCTTAACATCTAAGATATTTACCAGCTCACTGGACCCTAAGCTCAGACACTTGACCTCACCTGGGTTTTTATCTGGACCCTGTTTCCTTCTACTTTTCTTATTTTGGCGAAGAGCTAATAAACGACATGAAGACAGAATGTGAGAAGCTGCAAAGGCCCAGGGCAGTGGTCGGCAAACCGCGGCTCGCGAGCCACATGCGGCTCTTTGGCCCCTTGAGTGTGGCTCTTCCACAAAATACCACGTGCAGGCGCGCACGTACAGTGCGATTGAAACTTCATGGCCTGTGCGCAGAGTCAGTTTTCGGCCTGGGCGAGTCTATTTTGAAGAAGTGGCGTTAGAAGAAGTGGGGGTACGTTCGCTGAGTTTACCTACCTATATAGTTTAAGTTTAAAAAATTTGGCTCTCAAAAGAAATTTCAATCGTCGTACTGTTGATATTTGGCTCTGTTGACTAATGAGTTTGCCGACCACTGGCCCAGGGCCATTCATGATGGTGATGGTGACGGTGACCATGGCATCCGAGGCTTGGAAATCCCCGCCTGCCCACCTCGGGCTCTGAGGAGGCAGCTGTGCTGTGGGTTCTCTCATTCAGCAAATACTTTTCTGTCTCATACTTTTCTCACTGACAGTTCCACATGTGAACGTTCATTAAAAGATAGTAGGAAATGCCCTCACTGGTTGGGCTCAGGGGATAGGGTGTTGGCCTGCAGACTGAAGGGTCCCGGGTTCGATTCCCGTTAAGGGCACGTACCTTGGTTGCAGGCTCCTCGCCAGCCCTGGTCAGGGCATGCAGGAGGCAACCAATCAATGTGTCTCTCTCATTTCAATGTTTCTCTCTCTAAAAATCAAAGGAAAAATATCCTCCGGTGAGGATTTAAAAAAAAGAAAAGAAAAGAGAGTAGAAATGACAATCCAGTTCTTTTTCTTTAAAGGTCTTTTTAATTTTGAGTATTTTAATTGAGTTTAAAATTAATGAAGTTTGATTCATCACACGACCTCTTCATTGCTGACACTAAAGCATAAGGAGAATGTAGGTGGCATTTTAAATTGGAACATACAAATGACAGATTTTTAAAATAAACTACAAAACCGTATGAAAAAAAAAATGTTTCACATTCAATAAGATTTGTCATCATAAAAGGTCAAAAATAATTTTATTAAAAATATACACAGAAATACAATAGAAATCTCTCCTTTCACCAGTAAAACAAGTATTCCATTAAGGATAATAATAAAGTTATCGATCCCTTCTTAGCTGTTTAAACTCACAAAAACATTTTAGTAAAAGCAGTTTTTAAAACAACAGGGAATAAGATACTTCCCCTGGGAAAACATTTTTCAAATAACATTGTAAAATACTCTGGTAATTTGCCTTTTATATTGATGTTGATAATGAAGCATAGACATGTGCAAAAATATTTCTCCAATCTCAATTTGCTTTTTTGAATCTTTAATACGCATAAAGCATATTCACTTTTGAATAGTTTTGTTTCTATGCTCACTGCTGTAGGAGCTAAATAGTCATTTTTCACACATATACTTAGTATGCACAAACAGAACATTGAGATGGCCAGGTTTTCTCACAAAAAATGTAAAAATAAATTTCTTTAAACAAACTGTTTCTCTGAACAACTTCAGCTTTCCTTCAAAAAAAAAAAAAAGAAAGAAAGAAAAAGAAATTGACCCACGCAGTCCCATAGATAGCTCACATACTCAGTGCAGAACAGTGTTGGTGTAGGGGAAGGGAGTGGAATGAGACGAAACCCCAGGACCAGGGAATCAAAATCCCGCCATCTCGACAAGAGCCACCGGAAGTCATGTTTTCATTCAACCTTTTCCTCGGCCTTTGCTTTGAGGAAGAACTCTGGCTTGTAGATGCAGCGATAGGCCAGGAGCTGAGGAAGGGCTCCGTAGGCTATGTTGAACGCTAGAAAGAGGATCTTCGCTTCCTCGGGGACTCTGTGGATGTAAGCAGTTCTCGCATGAAGAGAAGCACCGATGTGAGAAAACTGAGCCTGTGGCGTTAAAGAAAAGGGGTAAGCATGAATTTTGTGACCAGCTGGATGCCCGACGAGTTCTGACTCATTCCTTCAGACCATGTCTCTATGCCCTAAAGAACTAGTGCTTTTTTTAAAAAATATATTTTTTATTGATTTTTTACAGAGAGGAAAGGAGAGAGCTAGAGAGTTAGAAACATCGATCAGCTGTCTCTTGCATACCCCCGACTGGTGATGTGCCGGCAACCAAGGTACATGCCCTTGGCCAGAATCGAACCTGGGACCCTTGAGTCCGCAGGCCGACGCTCTATCCACTGAGCCAAACCGGCCAGGGCAGGACTAGTGCTTTTGACCAATCCGTAGTCTTGAATATGTCACTGAATGTAGGGCTGGTCTGGACGGAACTGCTCAAATAAAGTGTACCTTCTTGAGCATGGCTTTAGCAGACCAGCTGTTGTATGACCTATCCAGGGCCCCATAGCAAACAAACATCAATAGGTCAGAGTAACAGAAAAAATCAGAATAAAATCTCAGGTGACTTGTTTTCGTTTTCTGATTTGCATTCTGAGGATCCTACCATGAGACTCAGTCGTGGCTCACAAAATGTGTTCCCATAAAAATGAAGAAAGTACAGCCCTACCCAGTTTGGCTCACTGGATAGAGCGTCGGCCCACAGACTGAAGAGTCCTGGGTTCGATTCCGGTCAAGGGCACGTACCTTGGTTGCAGGTTCCTCCGCCCTGGCCGTGGTGCGTGCAAGTGAGGATTAACCAAAAAAAAAAAAAAAATGAAGAAAGTACGGAATTGAGAAGGCTAAAAGATTTTTAACATAACTATTTAAAAAGCAGCACTGGGGACCTCGGTTTCATGTATCAGTCTTTTACCTGTTCCCTGGAGCAAAAAGCTCAAAGCCCTTGGTTATGTATTTTTTGCTGGTTTATTTATTCGTGTATTTGTTTCTCATGCAACTTAAAAAAACGCCAAGGTTTTTTTTGCGAGCTGGGGTTGTTACCAGCATGGGGTGGGGTAGGGGTAGGGGTGCGCTCTGTAAAATGGTTGGGGTACGTGCAGGCGACCTTTTCAAATCCAATTGTACAGAATGGAAAGGGCAGCACTTCCCGCTGTACCCCTGTGCTTGTTCAGAACACACAGCAGAATGTGCCCGGCCGTCTTTTTTTTGATGCTTTTCATAAGAACAGGGGAAAACTGTTAGAAAAAGGCTTCTGTGAGATTTCCTCGGGATCCTGGTATCATTACAAAAGGCAGTCGTGGAGTCTGCATTTCAGTTTCATATCTCACTGAAATTCAAGGTGCACGTGGATAAAGAACTGGGAATCTGAGTGTAGTAAGTGGTGGATGATTCATCAGGACCAACGTGAAGAGACAAAAGATGTTACACTCGGAAGAAGGCACGGAAGCAACAATGAAAAACTAACCTGCTTTAAATACACATACGTTGTCTTCTCTTTCCCACCCTATGAAATCTGTTTCTCCTGCCGAGAGGCTAACAGATAAAGGTGTTACTGAGCCCTGGACCTCACGCATAAGAAAAGGACCAGCTCCCTTCAGCAGCATGTGTATGGATCTGTATCAGGGACTTCGTCACGAATTCCTGCTACATTCTGGGGGCCTCTGGTTCAACTTTCCTTCTGTCAAGGACACCCCTGCATTGTGACCCGTGAGGCCCCGAGAGGGCTCTGCCCCCCACACCCCTCCCCAGCGCAGACTCCAGGCCGAACCCAGCAAGTGGTCAGCTGGGTTTCATTCATCTCTGGGCTCTGAAGCCAGGAGGCCCTGAGAGCCCAGGGCATGTGTGGGGGGCCGCTGCTGTGGACATTCGGGGACCCGGAACCGGAGCTCGGCCCCCGGCACCATGTTTCCCAAGAGCCTATTTCCAGTAACTGTCTGACTACATAACCAAACTTTGTCTTCTGTACGAGAGGCCAGATTCAAACCCTGATTTTCTGAAACGTGGGTTTGGTGTCTCTGTCTTTATAGACGCTTGCACTGTACGCGCCACAAAGATCACCAAATTGGGGACATGCCAACCATCGTGGAGAGAATGGGTAATACAAGGGGTCACGCCCACCTGCGGAGGGAAACCCGCAGGCGGAGGCCATAGGCTCCTCCCTCTCCTGCACCAACAGTGCGGCTAATACCTCACTGTCCCCAACAGCACGCTCCCAGCGGCAGCAGGAAACAGTCATGTCCTTAGAGCGTAAGCCCGCCAGGCAGGTCCTGGGTCTCATGTTGCGTGTGGCACCCGTCGCATGGTGAGAGCTCAAGAAACGTTCTACAGTCCTGGTCTCGCGACTGTCAAAACCCATAAAGCTTCCACAAAGCATTTTCTCCAAAATGCGGAGCTGTGAGGCTGAGCATCTACCTGATCATTTGTGAGTTGTTTCTTAAAGCTTTCCATAAAGGAAAAAGCTCAAAGCAGTTCGTGAGAGTGTTGCTGAGAGTCCAGGGACATCAATTCGGCACCGTGGTCAAGAATTGGACATTTCAAGAAGCTCTTGGAGGCCATTTACCCAATATTCTCTTCCATACAAAATCCTATACTGTATACTTTTAGTTAGAGTGTAACTTTAATTACTATTATACTGATTCAAAAATTTACAATTTTTAATTATAAACCTGTGTTTTCTATTAAAATTACTTCTTGCGTGAATTTTGGGACACCCTTTACAATTCACCTCCAGTAGAATCAACTCTTTACAATCAAAGTATCCACGGAGCAGCCTCCAGACCCTTTGGTGAGGAAGCGCAAGGCACCTGCCTGGCCAGGGAATGGAGGGTCCCGAGGCCACGGTGGGAAGGGCGTTGCCTGGCTGCCCGGATCCGTTCCTGCTCCCGTGGCCCTGAGTGTGTTAACTGGATGGCGCGCCGGGCTCCCTGCCAAACCCATTGTGAGGCTGTCCCAAAACTTTCTCCCGGTTCACTTGAGTTTCAGGGAAAGACACAATATTCACCGCTGCAGATCAGTAAATGAACCTCCAGGGTCACATAGGGCATTTCCCCTCCAGACTCTTACTGGAACTTCTGACAATAAAAAGAGTCATCGCACCCTAGCTGGCCTGGCTCAGTGGATAGGGCGTTGGCCTGCCGGCCGAAGGGTCCCAGGTTCCATTCCGGTCAAGGGCACGGACCTCGGTTGCAGCCCCACCCCCACCCCTCGCCCGGAGCCTGGGCAGGGTTTGTGCAGGAGGCAACCAATGGATGTGTTTTTCATGTTGATGTTTCTGTCTTTCTTTCCCTCTCTCTTCCACTCTCCCTAAAAAATCAATGAAAAAAAATATCCTCGAGTGAGGATTAGGGAAAAAGAAGAAAAGGTGTTGGGTTCGAGAATTACTCTTGAAATAGCACTAAGCAGACCTAGTGATGGGCCAAATGTAAAAGGGGTGGGAATAGGAGGTGTGAAGAATTATACCACGAGTTTAGCTCCTACGAAGTACCTTGGGTGGGAAGTCACCTTTCCAACCCTGTAAATTCTGGTAGTCTTGTTGTCAACATAGTGACTTGGCTGTGGTCCAGTTAACTGGCTAAGCCTAGAGCAGCGGTTCTCAACCTGTGGGTCGAGACCCCTTTGGCGGTCAAACCGCCTAAGACCAGCCTGCATATCAGATATTTACATGACGATTCATCACAGTAGCAACATGACAGTTATGAAGTAGCCACGAAAATAATTTTATGGTTGGGTCACAACATGAGGAACTGTATTTAAAGGGCCAGAAGGTTGAGAACCACTAGCCTAGAATTTCTGGAGGAACCTCATTCTTAAGCCATTCTTGAAAAAAAGCAAGATGAAGACGATCATTTTAAAAGGTAAGTTCATTTGGCTCTTTTACCAACAGTAAGAAAATAAAAGGTACAATGACTTCATGTTCTTCCTTCTCATAAGAGCCAGCTGTTTGGCTGGTTGTTATTTCATAAAAATGCACTTTGTGTGATGAAGTCATTCCATAGCTAGTTCTGTTCGCAGTTCAGTGAGCACCTACTGGAGCCCGGGGCGGGGCTGACAGCAGGGGGAGGAGCAGACTGGCAGGTTCTGCTTCCCAGGAGCAGACCCTTAAAAATGAGCCCCTCTGGCCCGGCCGGTGTGGCTCAGTGGTTGAGCGTGGACCTATGAACCAGGAGGTCACGGTTCAATTCCTGGTCAAGGGCACATGCCCAGGTTGCAGGCACAGTCCCCAGTAGGGGGCGTGCAAGAGGCAGCCAATCAATGATTCTCTCTCATCATTGATGTTTCTATCTCTCCCTCCCTCTCCACTCCTCTCTGAAATCAATAAAAAATAAATAAAACTAGTCCCTCTGGTTCTGTCTAGGATAGTACAGTGGAATTCCAAAATCTCAAATTTAGAATGACATCTTAAAGCTAAGAGCTCTCAGTTCTCTTTGGTGGCCGTGGTGTTGAGAGACTGGCAAATGGTACTGTAAACAACGGACCACCTGCTGCCTCTGTGGCGGTGGACAAACCCCACAGCCTCGCTGGGCCCCGTCTGTGTGTAACTGATGGAGCACCTGCCAGGTGGTTACTGCGAGACTTAAATAAAATAGGTCAGCAGAAACGTCTTCTGAGGAACCACAAAACAAGGGGCCCTCGCCAGTTTGGCTGTATCGAGCAGTGGTTCTCAACCTTCTGGCCCTTTAAATACAGTTCCTCATGTTGTGACCCAACCATAAAATTATTTTCGTGGCTACTACATCACTGTCATGTTGCTACTGTGATGAATCGTCATGTAAATATCTGATATGCAGGATGGTCTTAGGGGACCCCTGTGAAAGGGTCGTCCGACTGCCAAAGGGGTCACGATCCACAGGTTGAATGTACCTTGGTTGCAGGCACATCCCCAGTAGGGGGTGTGCAGGAGGCAGCTGATCGATGTTCTTCTCTCATCAATGTTTCTAACTCTCCCCTCTCCCTTCCACTCTGTAAAAAATCAATAAAATATATATTTTTTTAAAATCTATTTTTTAAAAAAAGCACAAAAACAAAGGAGACATGTCCACTTAGTGTTTCCTACCCTAAAACACCGAGCAGAGGTGTATGGGATCCTCAACCAGGACAGCCACACGCCCAGTCAGCGTTCACAGCGGAGCGCGTTCTCAGGTACCTGCGCGAGGCCTCCCGCGTGAATCAGGGTGACGTCCGCCATCCAGGAGCACCCGGGCACCACCAGTCCGTAAAGCGCCACCACGAAGTAAGGGACAGAATAGAACAGGTACACCAGCATCTGTGCCAACAGAGAAACGTCATCACACACCGGCCGGCCTGGCCCGAGACAGACCACAGACCACGGACACTCGCAAAGGTGAGCATGTTCATTCCCGCTTCCCGGGCGGAACCACGTGCTCCCATTCTCCGAGAGCGAAGACAGAAAAACCTTAGGCTCCGTCACTACTTGACCTGGATCTTGGGATAAGCCGCAGGGTCCTTCAGGTAGGGCTCTTGAAACTGGGTATAAAATCGGCAGAAATCAGCTGGGCAATCCAGAGCAATCTGGGAACAGAAATGAATTTGTTATCACGATGCAGTCATAGCCCTTGCTGGTTTGGCTCAGGGGATAGGGCATCAGCCTGCAGCCTGAAGGTCCCAGGTTCAATTCTCGGTCGGGGCACATGCCCAGGTTGCAGATTTGATCCCCAGGTAGCTGACCAATGATTCTCTCTCATTCATTTTTCTCTCTATCCCTCTCCCTTCCTCTCTGAAATCAATAAAAATGTATTTTAAAAAAAGATGCAGTCACAGAGATGCTGGCTCTTCTGTTGACTGATGAGGCCAAATGTGCCAGCTTTAGTGACAAACAGCTTTGCTCTGTATCAAAAACTACGTGTGGGAGAAGCTCCCAGTGAAAGGGGAAGGTACCCTGCAGGTGCCCTGGGAGCAGACGAAGCCGAGATGAGCAAACGGGAGCAGGAACTGGAGCTAACACTCTGCTCCCCGCTGCCTTTCGAGGACGTGGGTTAAGTTCCAGGTCCCGCCTGCAGAGCACGCACGGCCTGTTTCTCCAGGGAAGAGCTAGCCTCCGCCCCCTGCAGGAAGGACATTGCCTTTGGTGCCAGGTTCATCTTACTATGCTCTGCAAGATTCAGAAACAGCCGCCTCTGTCCAGTGCCTTACGGCGTGCATGGCCTTCGGGGGCCAGAGAAGAGCAAGGGTTTGAGCCCAAGTTGGTTTGGCTCAATGGATAGAGCGTCGGCCTGCGGACCAAAGGGTCTCGGGTTCGATTCCAGTCAAGGGCATGTACCTTGGTTGCAGGCTCCTCCCCGGCCCAAGCCCTGGTCGGGGTGCATGCAGGAGGCAACCAATCTATGTGTT